GAAAAAGAGACGAAGAGAGAGAAGGAGAGAGAGATAGAGAAGGGAGAGGGGGGGGAGAAGGGCGAGGGGAGTCTCGCACACTACTCGTAGCATATGGTGCGTAGGACCACGATCGCTCCTTACTGATAAGCACACTAATGCCGTCTCCCGCATGTATCGTTTGGTACGCAGCCGAGTGCAACAAATGGGTGATGGGCGCAACCGACCCATACGAGTTCGCGGTGACAGACACAACCATATTCGTGATGCAAGGTCGGCTGCGCCAAGCACTCCACTGGTGGTGCTCATGGTGCGATAGCAGCTTCATCTTATCCATCATCGCACGTGGCTATTGGTTCCCATGGAAGAACGAGGCCCCCACGCCTTTTGAATCGAAAAACCACGCCGGCACACAAGCCCATGGTGATTTCACCCGAACAGCAGTCCAGGACCTCCTTCGCACGGGTGCCGCTGCAGAGGCACCCGATCGAGCCGCACTTTCATGTGTCAGCCCGCTCAACGTGGTCGAGCAACGTGAAAAATGTCGCCTCATACTGGATCTTCGGAAGGTCAACAAGCACCTGCGTGTGCCCAAGTTCAAATACGAAGGACTGCTTCGCGTGGCAGAGTTGATCAAGCCGAACGATTGGATGTTCTCCGTCGACCTCAAATCGGGGTATCACCATGTGGACATACACCCAACTTGCTGGCGATACCTTGGCTTCCAGTTTGACGGAGCATATTATTACTTCCGCTCCTTACCATTCGGGCTAGCCACAACCCCGTTCGTCTTTACCCAACTTATCAAGCAGCTCGCTCGACGATGGCGTGCACGTGGATGGCGAGTAATCCCATACGTCGACGACATCTTGGTGCTATCTGAGTCAGCCCAACAAGCCCGATCGATATGCACCATGATCGTGCAGGACCTAAAGGACTCCGGTCTAGTGATCAGCAAGAAGAAGTCTCAGCTGCTCCCAACCCAAGCACTCCGCTTCCTTGGCCTCGAGTTGGACACTCGAAGCGGCACATTCTCGGTGGGAGACGAACGTCGATCTCAACTAAAATCCACAATGGCGACGCTCATTACCGAGGGGCGTAGATGCCGCCAAGTACACATCCGCCACGTCGCCCGAGTCACCGGCATGCTCGCATCAATGAGCCTCGCTCCGGGAGCAACTGCACGAGCCTTCAGCCACGAGCTGCTCCAAACCATCAACACAGCACCATCATGGAACTCTCGGATATCGCTGTCATCAGAGGCAATCGACGAACTGGGCTTCTGGATTGAGCAATTCGACAAGTTCAATGGTGCCCCATTCCATCAACCGCACCAGTACGATGCGGTCATTCAGGTGGATGCCAGCGCGCACAGTTGGGGCGCCACACTCGTCACGTTCCGCGGAGAGAGGAGCACAGTAAGCGCGAGCATGCCCTCACACTTGCCACCCACATCCAGCATCTGGCGGGAGCTGGAAGGTGTTTTGTGGTCACTACGCGCCTTCATGCACCAGATCCAGGGTGGCCATACCCTAGTCCGTGTCGACAATCAAGGCGTCATGTTCATCCTACGCAAGGGCGGCTCAAGCACCACTGAGCTCACCCTCGCCTGCAAAGAAATCATCTCTCTTTGCACGGAACACTCGGTTCGCTTGGCAATCGAATGGATCCCCCGCGAGTTGAACACCCATGCGGACGAGCTCTCCAAGATGCAAGACCATGATGACTACACTCTGAAACAACCTTGGTTTCGCCTCCTTGAACGCCGTTGGGGGCCCCACTCCATCGACCTATTCGCAAACGCTCGCAACGCGTTGTTACCTCGCTTCTGCTCGAAGGTGCCCCATCCCAAGGCGGAAGCGGTCAACGCATTCTCGACGGATTGGAGTGGAGAGCACGGTTTCGCGTTCCCACACCCCCACCTCATCCCAGCAACCCTTCGGCACGCGCAACGCACCCACGCTAAGATCACTCTTGTGATTCCACAATGGACAGGGGCTGCTTGGTGGCCCCTTGTGCAGCCGTCTCCCCAGACATGGGCCAAGGGGATCACCAGTCACCTAGCACTTGCAAGCGGTAGTCAATGCCTTCACCCAGGCACACACATATCTTCGTTCTCAGGCGCTGGATTTCCAAATAGTCCCATCTTTGCATTGGCTATAAATTTCTCGATGTAATTGCATGCTCTTATTGATGGCAGAAATATTAAACAACCTCCAAAAGCAACTCTTCGCGGTCATCAGCCAAGTGAGGGCACCCTCCACCATCCAAACCTACGAACCTTACTGGCTCAAGTTCCGAGCCTTCTGCAAGAAGGTTTCGCTGAGCTACCTGCCTACCACGGACTTGACACTCGTGCTGTACCTCGTGCACGCCCTCAAGCACAAAGCTACGCTATCTGCTGTCACACTAACGTGCTCCGCGGTATCCTTCGCACACAGAATGACTGGGACGGCGTGTCCCACCGACGGCCCCTTCACATCGCAAGTACGCGAGTTCGCCAAGCGCCACGCACCGCGCCCCAACCGGACCAAAGAGCCAGTCTCGCTCCACCAGGTCCATAGCATGGCTCAGGAGTTTCTCACATCCCACATCCCATTTGAATTTCAGAAAGGTCTCAACCCCCTCTTGATGTACACTGGGTTCCTACGCTACTCCGACCTGGTCGCGATTCAGTGGCAGGACATTCAATTCGAGGATACGGCAATGTGGGTTCTAATCCCACACTCCAAGACTAACCAGGAGAGCAAAGGAGTGTGGGTCCCAGTCGCGGCAACAGATGGGCCATACTGCCCAGTCCAAACCACCCATAAATTCATCAAGATTGCCGGCTATGACTCATCAACCGAAGGCCCTCTCATCCGAGTTTTCCCACGTGGCGCAAAGGCAACACCACAAGACAAATCTCCCTCATACCCCACTCTTAGGAACTGGTGTTTGGAAGCCTCCCGCAAGATCGGGCTCGACCCAAAGCACTTGGGCACCCACTCATTTCGCAAAGGGGCAGCAACGACAGCTGCCGGAGTCGGGATCACGGATCGAATGTTCAAACGTCTAGGCCGCTGGCGCAGCAACACCGCGAAGGAGCTCTACGTCACAGTCGCTCAAGACCAGCTCGTCGCAGCATCCCGACTGATCCAGGACCCCACACGAGCCCCATCCCCAAACCAGCATCAGCTGTCTATCCAGCGACAGCGCCGTCATCCTCTGCACATGTCTCAGCAGACCCAGATGAAATGAAGCACGATGCCTATTACAAAGTTGCAACAAGCAAGCTTTCACAATATGATAATTTTTGAAAGTGTATTCACTTTCTAAAATTTTGTATTGTGATAGTGAAGCGATTGCCAACGCAGCAAAGGCAGCGTCGCATCGCTACTCGCCCTCTTTTGGCTACAAAAGAGGGGTTGGAGGCCATTTGGCCTCACCCACGTTCTTCTTTTCAGATTTTTAGTTTGATTTCCCCACCCTCCCACCCTATGTAGTGAAATTGCATGTTGTAGACCTTTGGACGAGATTGATGTACTCTACCAAGATGAAATGAAGCACGATGCCTATTACAAAGTTGCAATAAGCAAGCTTTCACAATGGAATTTTCCTTACAACAATTGAAGGCCTACTCAAAATAAGGAGGAAACCTTGCTAGTCGGGAATATCGGAAATGGAGGTTCGGCACAGGTTTGGTAGAGTCAAGTCGAAAGCCAAACGAGGTAGGCTTGGAAGGCGAGGTCTTCGGGGACCTCCCAACCAAGACTCCTCTCGCTGCGCTTCCCCGGCGCAGCCTCGCGAAAATCGCGGGAGCACACAAGTAACACGACCTGACGGCGTCCCTCTCAACATGTACAATTACACCCACGCTGAGCCATACAAGAACAGCCTGACGGTGTCTTTCTTATCCAACTTACCGGCATGGCATGGCATGCCACCACAGTCCCCCCCCCTTCCCCTTCTCCGCCGGCATGGCATCCCGCGGCATGGAATCCGCGGGAGCACACTGGTCCCACAGCCTGGCGGCGTCTTTCTTATCCTACTTATTGAACCGTACAGGAACACACTAGACTAGCCACTTTCTTATCCAACTTACGGCACCACCGCCGCCCCCCGGCATGGCAATCTGGCCCTGCACAGCCAGATGTCCCGAATACGCCACGCTGGATTTGCGCGGCCGGACCGGCTGCGTCTTGACGGAGCCCTCGCGCCGCACCTTGGAGCATGACGTGCTGCCGCGATATTTAATGCGGCAACGCTGGTTTCCGCACACCCAGCCGCCGCTATCGGCGCGCCTTGTTTACACTACGCCGCTGTCCCCCGACGGCGAAGACAAATGCTTTTTTGCCGAAGTGGAAATACCGGCCGGCGATGGCCAGCCGCAGCGCCTGTTCGTCCCCGTCGCGCTCATTTGGAGCGAGGAGGCCGTGCCGCCCATTGTTCCGAGTCACCAGCACACCTTGGCGCGAATCCGCCGGAGCGCCGAGGCAGGCCTAGGCCTGCTCGCCGACGCTTTTGCCGTCCCGGCTTTTGCGCACGCGATCATCCAGGCGCTCCGCGAAGACCGGGAAATCGCCATCGCGCCGGCCGGCCGGGAGGGGGTGCTGCGTTTCCGCGGCGAGGCGGGATTGGCGGCAGTGGATCTACCGGCCGATGCTCCCGTGAAGTGGTTCGCGGGCGATCAGTCTAACAGCTCGCTCAGCGTGGGCGATGGGACTAACGGCGGCAAGGTCATGCTTAAGCTAGTGCGACGGTTAAATCCCGGCGTGAATCCCGAGGCCGAGATGACCCGCAGGCTAACCCAGCTGGAGTTCGCTAATTCGCCCGCGTTACTGGGCGAAGTGATTCGCGAAGAGAGCGACGGCACGTGTTACACATTGGCGCTGGTCCATCGGCACATAGCGAACGAGGGCGACGCCTGGTCTTGGACCCTGGACTATGTCAAACGGACGCTGGATAACGCTACGCGGCTTACCGGTGCCTCTGGCGCGTCACTGGAAGAATACGATGCGGAACTAGCGGGTTACGCCGCCATGGCCAGTACCATAGGCAGGCGGCTGGCGGAGCTGCATAGCGCCCTCGCCGCGCCTGCTGACGATCCAGCCTTCAGCCCCGAGCGCGCCGATTCTGCCCAAGCCCAGCAGCATGCGGCGCAGGCTATCGCAACGCTGCACGACGCGCTCCGGGTTTTGGCCGAGCACCGCCGCGGTGGCGGCGGCAAACTTGACGGCCGCACGCTCGCTGCCGCCTACGCTGACGCCGACGCCGAATGGCTGGAAAACCACGTCGAACCGTTGACGCAAGCGATACGCGAGCGCGCGTACCTGGAGCAAGATTCGCTGTACCTGCGTATTCACGGTGACTTCCATCTGGGGCAGGTTTTGGTCGCGCGCGGCACCGACTCTTGCACCGACATCGACGACGCTTGCCTCGTTGATTTCGAAGGCGAGCTGGCCCGTCCGTTTGCCGAGCGGCGCACCAAGACCACCCCCTTACGCGACGTGGCGGGCCTGCTGCGCTCATTCGATTACGCCGCTGCCGTGCTGAGCTCACCGGGTCCGTTGGGGTCTGCTCTGCTCACCACTTGCGCCACCGAGACGCTGGGGATCGTGAATAAGCCTATGGTCTCGGAACCAGCGCCTCAGCTGCACGCCTCACCTATTTTTGAGACGTCTCAAAAGTCGGGTCCGCTCACTGGCCCTGCTTGCGCCACCGAGACGTTCGGAATCATGAATAAGCCTATGGTCTCAGAACCTGCGCCTCAGCTACGCGCCTCACCTGAACCAGCGCCGCCTCAGCTACTACGCCGGGAAGCCTTGCTCTCCCAATTTTTTCGGCGTGGGCGCAGTGCTTTTATGCAGGGGTACCATGCAGTGGCCCACCAGGCGCCCCACCCGTGGCTCAAGCCAGGCGCGGAGCAGCGCCTGCTCGAACTGTCATTGCTCGAAAGAGCGGCCTATGAGGTGTGTTACGAAGCCGCGCACCGCCCTGATTGGCTGTGGATTCCAGCCGCCGGCTTGGCTGAGCTAGCGCGCGGCATACTGGCCTCGCCGTCGAGCGAGAAGGAGACGCACGAATCATGAGTGCACCGCCGCGCCCTCTCGCCCGAAAGGCGCTCCCGCGCTCCCCGCACCCTCCCTCACGCCAGACGCCCTCACGCCAGCCCGCCCTCGCGCCAGCCCGCCCGCCCTCTACAGGGCGGTCCGGTCCTTCACCGGCGCGCCGGCGCCCGGCCGGCGCCATTGAGCAGTGGTTGGCAGACAAGCAAGCATCCATATCATTTTTCTGTCTTACTAGGCCCACACGACACGAGCATGACGGCCACTGTGAGTTATGCGGGCTGGGCTGGCCCCCGGCGCTCAGTCTGTCTGTCCACGCTGAATCCGCTGATGGCCGCACGACACGGCCGCAGGGCGCAGATAAAGCTTCAGTACCGGTAGGGCTGGGCTGGGCTGCCCAACTCACGGCCGCCGTGAGTACCGGGGGGCAGCCCACCACTCAGTCTGTCTGTCTGCGCTGAATTCGCCGATGGCTGCACGGCATGGCACAGTTATGAGGTTCAGTGGCAGCAAGCATATGATTGCAGTGGGAGTGCATGTGCATGGTTGTTTGTACGGTAGTTAGCTGTGGAGTGTGACTGTATGTAGTGCGCTTCACTTCTTTTCACGTCATAACTTGTGAAATAAAATCAACAAACCGATTCAAAAGAGCTGCTGTTACAAATGATGCGCACTGATCCGAAACAGCCTCACGGAATGGTCATCCGAACAGCTTGCCAGCTCCAAACACCTCCCTTCCCTCTCCCCTTCTGCAACTACCTCGTTACCCCCACTAACCCCCACCCCTTCTGTACCTACCTCCCTGTTACACCCAGTAACCCTAACCTCTCCTGCGCCACTATCCCTCGCTCCAACCTCCCCTCGCCACCTCAGCCTATGAACAGCTGCCAGGTGGCAATGGATGTCACTGAAAGCGACCAGACGCTGCAGCTGGAGCTTGGGTGGAGAAGGCGAGGGGTGGAGTGCGGTGGAAGTTGGTGAAGCAGCATTATGCTGCGTGGCAGGTGGAGCAAAGGGTGCAAGGTCTGCACTCCAGAGCTGTATCCCCCCATTCTCTAAGCCAACAGCAAGTAATGAATGCAGCGCAGCAGTGGAAATGGCAGGAGCAGGAGCAGCGACAGGGTCAGCAGGTGAATTGGTTGAGGAGGGTTGTGTATGAGGGGGAGGAGTGAGGGATGGGAGGTAAGGAGACCAGGCCACAGCCGTGACTGGGTGGGGGAAGGTGGGAAGGGTTGCGAGGAGCGTGGTGGTGTAGGAGGAGGGAGGCGAGGTGGTGGAGGGAGTGGGAGGGGCAGCGGAGGGTGGCTGTTCGATGACTTGCCACACCTTCACCTGCATGCGGTAAGGGGGGGTGTGGGAATGATGACAGCACAGGAGGTGGCTTGCTGAGGTGGCTTGTTGAGGTGTTGGCGTGGCTCGTTTTGCCTTGGCCTGTTGTGTGGCAGCTGAGGCCTTAGCCCGACACCACGTCATGTCAAACCATCCGTTCAAGGAGCCAAACTCACAGTCTGATAGGCATCTTTTGAGCTGCCTAAAAAAAACCTTCAAGTCAACCTCAGAGCATGACACGCAGACGCATCGGCATGCATCACCATTTTGACGTGTTCTCTATGTCCTGACTTGTCTCTGGAATGAAAGTAGGCGCAGACGAGTCTCACCGTTTTGTCTCTGGATCCGGTGGCAAAGATTCGGCCTGAGGGCGCCCAGGAGCAGTCCCAGATAATGCGCTTGTGTGCCTCGACCCTTGCAACCAGGCGATAGGGGGCTGTTAGGGTAGGTGGGTGGGATTAGGTGGGTCAGAAGCAGCTCACAGTCTATCCTAGCAAGCCCAGATGATGAGCCTGTGTGCCTCCACCCTCGCCACCAGCTGATAGGGGGCTGCGTGGGTTGGGTGGGGATAGGTATGCGGGTGAGAAGAGGCAGGAAAGACATTGAGTCCTCGGGAGCTTTGTGGCAAGGCAAGAACCCTAGAGAAGTCATATATAATGGTAAATAAGGAGCTTTGTGCCACTGACACTGACAGAAATGACGACCCCACGCCTGCAGAGCGAAACAGGAAACAGGGGACTGACATACCTGCATCAGCAGCAGAATCAACATGGGCGGCAGCGAAGAGGCAGAAGTGATAGTCGCGGGAGGAGACGGAGGGCATCGCAGGGGGAGAAGCGCATCTGCGTCACTGAGAGCGCGTGGGCTGATAGGCGCGCTGCTGCTGTCCATGGAGCAAAGGGAACTAGGAGCATCACTACAGGAAACAGGGGACTGATGTACCTGCTGCATCAGCAGCACCATGCGATGCAGCGAAGAGGCAGAAGTGGCGGTCGCGGGAGACGGAGAGAAGGAGGGCGTCACACGGGGAGAAGTGCATCTGCGTCACTGAGAGCGTGTGGGCTGTGAGGGAGCAGCCGCCAGGGAGCAACGGGAAGTGCAAGCAAGCATCACTACAGGAAGACTTTTGAGGCGCCTCAAAAGAAGTGCCAGCATCACTACAGGAAGCAGGGGACTGACGTACCTGGTTTTGAGACGTCTCAAAACTAGTGACGTACCTGCATCAGCAGCAGAATCAGCAGCACAATTGGTGGCAGCAAAGAGGCACAAGTGGCGGTCTCGAGAGACGGAGAGGAGGAGAGCATCGCAGAGGGAGAAGCTCATCTGTGTCACTGAAAGCGTGTGCGCTGCCAGGCGCGCTGCTGCTGTCCATGGGGCTGCTTGTGCGGTGCATGGGGAGGAGGAGGAGGGGGAGGGAGATGGGTTGGGTGTGTGCCAGAGCCAGATGGCTGCGAAATCCGGCGCTACAGGTCACAGGGGCCGCTGACGTACCGGCATCAGCAGCAGCAGGAGCACCGTTGGCAGCAGCGAATAGGCAGAAGTGACGGTCGCGGGAGACGGAGAGCAGGAGGGCATCGCAGGGGGAGAAGTGCATCTGTGTCACTGAGAGCGTGTGTGCTGATAGGCGCGCTGAGCTGTTCAGGGAGCAAAGGGAGCTGCGAGCATCGCTACAGGAAACAGGGGACTGACTTACCTGCATCAGCGGCACCGTGGTCGGCAGCAAAGAGGCAGAAGTGACGGTCGCGGGAGACGGAGAGGAGGAGGGAGTCGCAGGGGGAGAAGTGCATCTGCGTCACTGAGAGCGTGTGTGCTGATAGGCGCGCTGCTGCTGCCCAGGGAGCAAAGGGAGCTGCGCGCAGCGCTACAGGAAACAGGGCACTGACTTACCTGCGTCAGCAACAGAATCAGCAGCACCGTGGGATGCAGCAAAGAGGCACAAGTGGCGGTCACGAGAGACGGAGAGGAGGAAAGTGTCGCAGGGGGAGAAGTGCATCTGTGTCACTGAGAGCGTGTGCGCTGATAGGCGCGCTGCTGCTGTCCATGGGGCTGCTGGCGCAGTGGAGGGGGAGGAGGAGGAGGAGGGAGATGGGTTGGGTGTGTGCCAGAGCCAGATTGCTGCGAAATCCGGGGATTGGGCCTGACAGGTGGGAGCGAGAGACAGGTGAAGGAAAGGGGGGAAGGGAGAGAGGAGGGAGTAAATGCAGAAGGGACAGGGAAGAAACGGACGAAAGTTGGGGGGCAGGGCAAGTGAAGTGAGCAGGAGAGGGAATGAAAAGATAGGCAAAGCAAGGGAGGAGCCACACATGAGGCAGGGAAGGCATGCACTAGAGCTCAGCAACTCCCAAGCAAATGCTTCCGGATAAGAGGACACAAATAATCAGGTCAGCGTGCGGCATAGCAAGCACACATGCTGCCCTGCCCCCCTTGCCCCTCCATTCCATATTGCTTAATCTGGCTATATACCGTGTGTGATAAGTCGAGTTATTCCACTCAAAACCGTGAGTCGAGTCAAAACTCGATTTATGCCACGTCGACTCAGTGATGTGTCAGAAGCTCCACGTTGCTTAATCTGACTAGATGCTGCTGCTTCTGTCTCTCCTACCTTGCAGGCAGTTGCCAGGAACCTTCCCCCGTGGCTGGCAGCGCAGCACAGGATCTCGCTGCCGTGGCCGTACAGCTTGCGCACTTCCGGCCAAAGCGTGCCGCCCGCCAGCTGCTCCTCTCTGGGTGGCTGCTGCAGCACGGCGGGCGGCAGTGGCATGGCGTCGTCAGCATCCCCGTACTGGGAGAAACCGAGGGAGGAGGCAAGGGTGGAGTCAGGGTCGCTGGGAGCTGGGGAGGAGGGAGAGGGATGGAGGAGGGGAGACAATGGAAGGGGGAGGGCCCAGAGGAGAGGGGGAGGTGAGCAGCGGGATGGCGTCGTCAGCATCCCATGTACTGGGAGTAGCCGAGGGAGGAGGTGAGAGTGGAGGTGGGATCGGTGGGATCTGGGGAAGGAGGGAGGGAGGTGGGGTTAAGGAAGGGGTACGGGAGGAGCGAGAAAGAGGGTAACATGGGTGCCAACCGCGCGATATTGCGAGCGCACAAGACAGTGGGCAATACATGCACAGACAGACAAATCATGGCTCCTACACACACATACCATTCACATTCACATACCAGTGGCAGCAGCAGAGTAGACGGGCCTCTGCGAGGGAACACATGATGGGTGAATGGTAACACACACCAAGGCTTTTGAAACACACATGATGGGTGAATGGTAACACACACCAAGGCTTTTGAAACACACATGATGGGTGAACATCGGTAACTGATATGCGAGGTTCACCCGCAGCAGTGAACCTCCCATCCCACACACATACCACCAGCAGCAGAGGAGTAGATGGGCTTCTGTGACAGCCCGAGAGCTGACATGCTTGCTGCCATCGCCATGCCCTTCTTTTGCTGTGGGACTGCAGCTGCTGCCGCTGCTGCATCCCCCTCTCTGCTACCCTCCCCGCTAGCACCTCCCCCCTGTGCTGAAGGGCACGAGGCAGCAGAGCGGGTGAAGTGAAGGGTGTCAAGGAACAGCTGTGGCGACTCAAACACACGAAGCACCTTCTCCTCCGCGCCACTCACGTACACCAGACCCCGCTCCGCCCCACCCAGTGATCCCTCTGTCCCCTCTGCCCCTCCCTGTGATTCCTGTGCCCGCTCCGCCCCTCCCTGTGTCCCATCCGCCCCTCCATCCGACCATCCTGAGTCTCCCCCTCCCCCATCGCACCTCCCCTCCACACCAGGCCCTTCAAGAGCACCCGAACCTCCATCCGAACCGTCGCCGAGCCTGAGGCTCGGGCAGAAGGCGGCGCATTTGAGGTCATGGCCGTGCACCTGTGGGCGAGCTGTTTCCCGCCACCCCTGTGCCTGCTGCTCTCCCCCACCACTGCTTGCACCACCACCACCCGCGCCGCCATCACCACTAACCACATCACTGGGCGTGCCACTGTGCACCCAGTTTGCGAAGATGCGAGCTGTCTGTGGGGGCGGGAGAAGGGGGTTGGACGGGAGGAAAACGCAAAGAGCAGTGCAGACCGGTACCGATCAGTACAGACCGGTGCAGCTGATGTTAAGCCCTTGAGGACGCACTCAAGAGTGCAATGCAGGCGGCAGTGCTTTGTATACTTAAGAGCAGCAGTGTGACAATGCATCCCAGCACACACTGGCCTCACCTGGTCGCTACTGACGGACAGCAGCAGCTGCGAGCGAGCATCCCAGCACATGTCCACAACCGGCCCAAAGTGCCCCGTCGGTGCCACCACCGCTCTCCACTCCTCCTCCCTCTCCCTCACCCCTTCCTCCCCTCCTCCTCTCTCCTTCCTATCCCCTCCCCCTTCCCCTCTCTCGTTCCCCTTAGTGTGATCATCCACATCATCTCCCCTTGTGCTCCCCTCCACATCATCACACCTCCCAAGGCAAAGGTCTCCCTCTGTGCGTTCATCCTCCCCTTCCGCCTCCTCTCCCCGTCCTTCCCCCTCCACCTCTCTCACTCGCCCATAGTCTCGCCACAAGTGCAGACTCCCGGTGAACCCGTGGGCCAATACCGCGTCGCCACGTGGCGACCATATACCGCCAAAGAACCCCAGAGAAGAGTGCCCCACCTCTCCCAGGCTGACATCTGCCAGCCAGAGCCCTCCAGCCCCCTGCCACGTGGCAGGCTGCCACATCAGCATGGTGCAATCCATTGATGACGTCAGCAGGCGCAGGGGCTGGAAAAGAGTGGCTTGTGCAGGTTTGGAAGCAGCAGGTTCAGAAGAAACAGGCTCGGGGCTGAAAGGCTCGGCAACAGGGAGAACAGGAACGGAGGATGGGATGGAACGGTGAGAGCGAATGGGAGGGTGCCACGTCACCGAATGCACCCAATCCTCGTGCCCCACCAGCAGCCCATCCAGCATAACCTGCCACGTGTCTCCCCCTGATTGGAAGCACGGTCCAGCTGTGTAACCTCCCAGCTCCCCAAACTCTTTCAGAAGATCGGAATGAGCAGCATTTGCACTGCTGCTGTAGGCCGTGTCAGTGCCAGCGGCAGCAGGAGCAGGAGCAGAGAGTGCAAGCTTCCAGACGCGCACGTTGCGGTCCTGAGAGGCCGACGCGAGTAGCACGTGGGGGGTACTGGGGGAGGCAGGTGCCGCTGTTGCCGCTGCTGCTGCTGCAGAGGGCGGAGGCGGTGGAGCAGCGGATGCGACAGACGCAGTGGAAGCAGGGGGAGGGGCGAACATGGGGAGGGAGAAGTCGAGCGAGCGGATCCAGTCCTGATGGCCTGCCAGCGAACACACCCTCGTGAAGCGCGCCGAGGGGGAGAACGGCTGGGGGGGTGGGATGGGTGGGGTGGGGTGGGGTGGGGTGGGATGGGATGGAGTGGGGTGGGATGGGGTGGGGTGGGGTGGGATGGGGTACGGTGCAGACATTTGCAGATAAGTGTTGGGGCACACACGGGGGATCAAGTAGAGCAGGAGAGTGGAGGGAAGAAGGTTATACAGGAGACAGGACGCGCGATTTCATGCGAGGGAGGTGGTGAAAGAACAGCCATGAGCTACTTTACTCAGGGAGGTATGAGCCATGAGCCATGAGCCAGGGAGGTATAGTGACGCCAGGCCAAGGGCCTTGTAACGGCCCCACAACAACGAATGAGGCACGGCTCACAATGAGTGAGGCCGGCCGGTGCATAGGTAGGCTACAATAAGGCATGTGAGTGTGAGCAAGTGTGAGGCACGTAATGCATCATCTGCCCGCCTGCAGCTACGGGCGCATGTTGACGCTCCTCAGCACACCATGATGCGGCGCGTGTAGAGGTGCACTTTGCTGTCCAGCCCCCCCAACGCCAGCAACACACTGTCATACCATGTCCCACTGCACGTTATGCATATGTGCCTGTGTGCAAACCGCACTATCAACTCCCACTCAATCCCCTAAGCAGCGCACCATGAGCGGGCGAGTGTAAAGGTGCACTTTGTTACCCAGCCAGCCCTCCCAGCGCCAGCAGCACAGTGCCATGCCTCGATGCATGAATACCATACATATAAGCCTGCCTGCAACTGCAATCAAAGCCCCCTTTCAGACCAACTCCTTGAACCCACCGTGGTCGGGCGAGTGTAGAGGTGCACTTTGTTGTCAAGCCCTCCCAGCGCCAGCAACACACTGCCACGCCTCCCTTGGTCGCCACCACCACCACTCCCTGCATCACCACCACTCCCCGCCCCTGCCACCCCAGAAGGCAGGCAGCAGAGAGCAGAGGCCTCCATGCACAGCCCGCCCACTTGGATGCGCTCCACTGCCGCCAGCGAGAATCCAAACTTCTTCCCACATGCCTCTCCTGCCGCCGATGCGGGCTCTGCTGTGGTCCTCCCCACCCCTGTTCCGCCCTGCCAGCTGGCCGCCCACACTCCCACTGTGCCGTCTGCGGAGGTGGTAACCAATAGTGCGCCCGGGGGAGGTGGAGGTGCGCTGTCAGGTGTGTGATGAGGCAGGTCAGGGGAGGGAGGCAGCAGCAGGGAGGATATGCTGGTGATGGCATTGCTGTGGGCAGCAGGCAGGTGCTGCTGCTGTGACCACTGGAGGGGGGGAATGGGTGGGGGGGGGGAGGAGAGGAGAGAAGGAGGAGGAGAAGAAGGAGACGGGAAGAGGCATGTGAAGCAGAGCAGGGCAAGGGGCACAAACCGGTGAAGAGAAGGTGGTTTTGAGACGTCTCAATACGAGCGCAGAAGGGAAGAGCGGCACCACTAGAGAGAACAGGAAATTGGTGGATGGAAGGCTGAAAAAGAGGACGGGAAGGGAAGGGAATGGAAGGGAATGGCAGGCACAGATGCACGGAAGTGTGCTGCTGCTGCTGCTGCTGCTGCTCCTGCTGCTGCTGCTGCTGCTGCTGCTGCTCCTGCTCCTGCTGCTGCTGCTGCTGCTGCTGCTGCTGCTGCTGCTGCTCCTGCTCCTGCTGCTGCTGCTGCTGCTGCTGCTGCTGCTGCTGCTGCTGCTGCTGCTGCTGCTGCTGCTGCTGCTGCTGCTGCTGCTGCTGCTGCTGCTGCTGCTGCTGCTGCTGCTTGAATTGGAACCACTGCTGCTGCTACCCCTCTTGTTCCTTGCATTTGTTCACCCCTCACGTCCCTTCCCTCCTAGTACCATAACCTTTCTCTTCCTGCCTGCTGCATCCAGCCCACCCACCAGTTCTCTTCCTCCTTCCCTCCCCTTCCCAAGTCCTGTACGAACTTTCCGTTTCCCCATTATCCTTTAGTATCTCCCCCACTCCCCCCCCCCCCCACCTGCTGCAACAGCAAGCCCCTCTAGTCGAATAACTGATTAAATCACGCCACCTGTGGCAGTGACCAGCTTGATCAGCTTGACCAGCTTGACCAGCTTGACCAGCTTGACCAGCTTGATCAGCTTGACCAGCTTGATCAGCTTGACCAGCTTGACCAGCTTGACCAGCTTGACCAGCTTGATCAGCTTGACCAGCTTGATCAGCTTGACCAGCTTGACCAGCTTGACCAGCTTGACCAGCTTGACCAGCTTGACCAGCTTGACCAGCTTGACCAGCTTGACCAGCTTGATCAGCTTGACCAGCTTGACCAGCTTGAGCTGCCCAACAGGAAAACGTGCTTCCCCGTTTCCCTTCCTTACTGATCCCACGCCTCTTGCTCCACTTCTTCCCGCCACCATCCCTGTCTCTTGCCCTTCCGCTAGCACTAGTCCCATGTGCCTCCCCTGCGCCCTCCCTGCCACTCCCCCCTCTCCCCACACCTGCTGGGAGCCCACGTGGTAAGACCACGCCACCAGTGACCCACTTGCGCTGCCCGATAGAATCATGTGCTCTGGAGGTGCGCTCGTGCCTGCAGGCCGGGGCGAGGGGGGAAGGGGGAGGGGGATGGGGAAAAGGGACGGGGGACAGGGGATGCGGGATGGGGGATGCGGGACGGGGGATGCGGGACGGGGGAAGGGGGACGGGGGATGCGGGACGGGGGATGTGGGACGGGGGAAGGGGAATACATGCAAAAAGTGACCTGCTTGTGCTGCCCGATAGGATCATGCGCTTGGGGCGGGGGGGGGAGACACTGGTGCCTGCAGGCCGGGGGAAGGGGGGTGGGAAGACGCTGAAAGAGGATGGGGTTGGGGGAATGGGGAAAAAAGCAGTAGCTCTGCAGTGCACACAAGACGTGCGGTGGGCTGTACTTTCTGTAACGGCCTTAAAGTGAAACATTTCACCAGTGCTCTAGCATTACTGTACTGCGTCAGGCTTGACTAGTGACAGTGTTGGTGGTTACCAGGTAACAGGTGCAGGTGCTGGGGCAGCCAGTGGCAGCAGTTGACTCGAGACGAGTGCCCTGGCAGCTGCACCACCAGCTGTGATTGCTGCACGCAGGTAGAAGAGAGATGCATTGGGGAGGAGAGGGGGGTAGGTGGGAACGAGGGGATGGGGGAGAGGGGGAGGGGTGGGAAGGAGGAAACGGAGGAGAGGGGGAAGTGTGGGGAGGGGAGAACCAAAACCTATCGTCCAGTCCAGGAAGGCTGGAGAGGAAAGGGGGAAGGAAAGGGGAGAGGAGAGGGGTAAAGGGAGAGAGGGGAGGGGGTAATGGGAGAGGGGGGAAATACGAGAGGGGAAGGCGAGAGCGGAAGAACTCTGGAAGCGGCAAAATGGGGGTGGATGAATAGGGTGAGCAGAGCGACGCTGGGGGAAGGGGTAAAAAACGTGGAAACGAGAATAAATACCGCTGGTAGCTGTTAACAGATACAGAGGCGCAACATACGGCGCAAGTCTTCGACTTTCAGTGCAGGGTTTTTCGGGGTTGAGGGTTTAAGCATGTATGGAGGGGTTGACGCCCTAGAGCGCCGAAGCCCAGTCCAATTCACGCAAGCAAGATTTGGCCTCGCAACTGGTCGTCGCATGTGGCGACGGTTGGATACCGCTCGCATTTGCCGCGTCTCGAATCACATCATACTTCGCACCGAGTTTCGCACATGTCGCACCTGAGCGTCGCATCTGTCGCACCTGCGTGTCGCATATGGCGACACCGTGGTGCGCGGCGAATGCGAGCAGCCCCGAGGGGCCCCACGCGGCCGCGTGCGCGACGCGATTGCATCCGACGGCGAGGAACGACAGATCCACTGCGCACTTAGAAGTGCTATTATCGGGGCTGCTGTTAGCGGAACTTCTGTTACGGGTGCTGGTAGAGGTGCCAACATGCTGATTAAGGCCGCCAGTGATTTCACTCTGTTGAGCCATGGCGCAACCTCCGCGTCGCGCAATCACCGCGAAGGGCAATTCAAGGAACTGGCACCCGCCCAGTACGCGCTGTTTATGGCGCCTCGAAAATTACCTTCGAGAATCACCTAACAAACCACAGAGCATCACCCTCAACGATCCTGCCTCCACAAACACGTAACCAGCCAAGGTTAGCTATTGCACTGAGCTGCAATGTGCATGTGACGCGGAATGGGATGCTGCAGTTCACATGCAAGGCTTCGCTTCTTTCATCCTCGTTACGACTCGTAGTGAGTTGGCTTCTGAATACAACTTATGAGACGGTAATATCACGGATACAAATGACATGAAGATTTGAGAGCATAGGCTGCTGAGAATGGCATACAATACTGAAACTGGCACGAAATACAGAAAGCATCATAACTTAGCTATTGTATTCGACATAGAAAACCCGTTAAGCTAACAAATCAGGTGAAGGCAGGGCTGACGTTTCACTTTAGGGCTCCCTGATGCCGCTAATTTTTTTTTCCCTCGATTATGAGTGCACATTGTTCAGGAGATTGTCACCCTGATGGCTCAGGGTTCAACAACTAGTCACTCTGATGAGTCAGGGTCGACAGCCTGAATTCAGGGTTGTGTTTCAATTTTTACTAGGGTGATTTCTGCAATGTACAGCCTGTAACAAATTTCCTCCTACATCTACTCTACTCTAGTGCACAGGCCTATCGATGTGGAACACTTCCTCCACATCCTTATCGTCCGAAAGGAAGGGATTGTCCTCCTCCTCCTCCTCCTCCTCCCCCACAAGCTCCTGATCGTCGCCCAGTGCCTGTTCCACATCCACCTCCTCCTCCTCGTCCTCCTCCCCATCGTTCCGGTGGGCAGCTCCTGCTTCGACTTCACCCTCCTTTGCTTTCCCCCTCCTTTCGCGATCAGCCACAACAAGCTTCACGCTCTTTGCGGGGCGCCTCCTCCTCATAGACCTCCAGGGCGTCCGGCCACTCGATGTCGTAATTCAGGAGCGAAATCTGCATCAGCTCTCCCAGCCGCGCGTTGCAGAGAGCGCCGCGCACCCGAGGTTGGGCCTCCTCCTGCCAGGCACATTGTCGGAGATGGGTGGGAAACAGAGTGACCACATGCACAAAATACATTAGACTCCCGCATGGCATACCATGATGTCACACTACGGGGACATACCTCTTCGAGTCCGCGCTCCCGAGAATGTTGGTCAGTCCCTGCGTGAAGCTTTCCAGCTCGTGGTGCGCCTCCATGATCGCACAGAATGTGGGAAGCTCCCTCTCTGCGGCCTTGAGGTCGAATCCCGACAGCTTGTGGCGGAAGAGTTTGCTGCATCCCAGAAGCCACTCACGGCATTTCTTCTCCCGTTGTGCCTTGATCTTCGGCCACTTTCCGGCCCGAAACAGCTTCGTCGGCCCCAGCTTCCCCAGGTCATCAAGCCGCTCCTTGAGATTGTCCACGCAATCGCGAGCGAAACTGCGGCACAGCTTCACGCACTCCTCGTATCCGCTCCCCACCTTGTGCCCCGGGAGCTTCCGCTCATGCATGGTGTACAGATGGTTCACTGGGCGTCCCTCCCCGTCCACGCCTCTCACACGGACCTTCTTGCCTCCACCATGCCCGTGCAGCTTTAGAAAGCCGACCAGCCAGCACTTGCCCTCGCCACCGAACTGCTTGTCGGTATCCAAATACCGCCCAGTCAGATCCGCCGTGGTGGCCTCGATGGTCTTCGCAATCTCCGTCACATCAATCTATAAGGGCACAGTCATACAGGACATGTCATTTTACATCCAACACTCGAGAAATTGGAGACACTAGCAGTGGCGTGTTCGTGGAAGATTAAACAAAGTCACATCTCGATTCTGGAAACAGCGGTTGAGGTCGTTGATGTCGGCGAGAATGTCGGCGAGGAAGAACAGGCAAAACTGGAACTTGTAGCACGTGACGATCTCGTACACCTTGTGACTCCGCTCCCAGAGAAGAACGATACACGCACCGAGCACCTTGCACAGCCATCGCACCGCATCTCCACGTGAGAGCCAGCGAACCGTGTGGATCCCCTGGACTTCGAGGTTAGTGTTGTAGATCACATGCTGCAGGTACTTGAACTGTTGGCTCCAGACTGAAGAATCTCCTAGTTTTGCTGCCACGGTGCGCACCACCTTGTCCACCATGCCGAGGTAGGGGTTGGACGTCGCCGCGTCCTTAACAGCCAGCGCCTCCCTGCAATAGACAACGTTAATAATTGTTGAATAGAAATCAGGCAAGCAACATGAACTGGATCAATAACTGGCACTAAATCTTACCGGTGCGCGATGCAGTGACAGGAAAAGAGATGCGGGGCGTGCTCCCTGATCCGCGCCACCAATCCGTTGTCCTTCCCCGTCATGACCGAAGCCCCGTCCGTACTGATTCCGACAAGCTTCGACACGTCGACGCCTGCAGAGCGCAGATGATTCATGAGCACCTCGAACAGGGACGCAGCATCACACTTCTCCACAGTCAGGAGGGTGAAGAACTCGGTGACGACTCGGCGGTCCTTGATGAAGGTCAGGTAAACAATCATGTGTTTACCACGCGTTCGGTCAGTGCTCTCGTCGCATTGCAGGCCCAGGAACGGTGAGGAGTTGATGTGGTCCATCTGCGCATTCGACAAGTACGTACTGAGGCAGTGAACCATCTGCTGGAAGCCGTACCTGCGCAGAGATGTAGGTCCTTCAGTTAGTCTTTCTGGGGGAAAATATTTCATTACCACGAATTCAATACAGCAAGATTGTAACTAAAATGTCCTACCGTGTGAGATAAACACCGTAAGACTGTCTCGGGATGTCGGGCGTGTCCTGCTCCGCGAGATGCCGCATCAGCCTAGGGTACATGCTTATCGGCGCGTCGCACTTGCACAGAAACACAACCGACCGCAACAGTCGGACGGCGCGCCTTCCCTCGACGTCCGAGTTGATGAAGTTCGAAATCACTTGCTGCCCCTCGCGGATGCCTCTTGCAATCTTCAGCTGCCAGTCAACAGCCGCTTTGTGCGCGTCCGTGTGCTCGTGTGCGCGAAACGCCTGCGTCTGCATGTCACGGCCTCCGTCATCACCCTGCCTCGCGTACCTCGTGTTCTCCTTCCCGTAGGCCATGCAGACACTGCACTTCACATAGGGAAACCCATCCTTGGTTTTTCCGAACACAAGCCAGGAGAACTGTCCCGACCACCTCGTATCGTACATGATGCTGGCCTCCAGGAACATCTGCTCCCGCAGCTGCGCCTTGGTGAGGGCGGGCGAGCCGGTGTCCGCGCGGATCGGGAACACATCTTCCTCTGGCGGTGCAGATGCAGCAGGTGGTGGATCAGCCGGAGTGTTCGAAGCAGAAAGTCGGCGGCCTCCGACGAGCAGGGTATGCTGCGCCCACTTCCCTGAACGCGCTCTCTTCGGTGTGGAGGTAGCCGACGGAGGACCAACGGACACCCGCACGGTGCTTGGTGTGGGACTTGGCGCGGTCGGTTGGGGATCTTTGCTGCAAGAACCAACAGCCGGGGGTATAGTGAAGGCGGCCTCCCGGGGAGACTCTTCAGGTGTGGTCGTGGGCGTGTCTTTAACTGCAGAATCATCTACGGTAGACCTAGGTGGATCCGGTGTTACTGGAGCAGCGGAACCTCTAAGAAAATCAAGCCCCGAGCGTGGCTCCGTGGCTTTCGGCGGTAACGGTGGCTCATCTGAGCCAGCCTGAGACGTGTCCTCGTCAGCCTGCTGGCCTTCCATGGCGGGGAGAAGCTAGAGATGGGGAGAGAGAGAAACGGAGAAATGAATTGAAAAAAGGGAACATAACAGCAGCACCAACAAGACCCTGGCTGTGGGAGGGGGGAAGCAAGAGATGGAGGGAGAAGGTGGGGTCAGCAAGAATCCACCGCATCGCCACAAAATTGATGGCGCGGTGGTCGAAACAACGAGCCGTCATTGTATTCGGCCTTTCATGCAGGCCGAATACATTGAACGACTGCTTCACTGCCAGCGACGACAGCCACTAAGCGTCTCCCTCCAATGAGGGACACGTATTGTGATTTGCGCGGTGCGCGTGGCAGTAAATATGATGATTCTAGGTGCGCTGTCAAATTTGACAGCTGTGCTGTACATCGATGCTGTACAAAGGACAGTTGTGTTCTGTGTCGGTTCTTGTCACTAGTGCGCGTGAAACGAAGCCCCCACATGGTTAGGTGCGAAATCATAATTACCCAAATGGGGGGGTATCGGAACGAAGCTTCTACGAAGCTTCGTTCAGATAACATGACTTTCAGGGTCCACAGGTTGCGTACTCTGTATTGACAGGGTCCATGAAAACACTACACTGAGAGTGTATTGAGAATTTCAGGCTCCGCTAAATCAATACTCTGAATGGATCAAGGACCAAAATGTGAAAAACCTGATTTCACAGGGATCACAAGGTGAGAAGCCTGAAATCACCCTGAAATCAGGGTAATTACCCTGATAAAATCAGCCTTGGGTGAAGGATTTTGCTTCCTTCATAAAAGACTGCACTGCACTTGCAGTGAAGATTGTGCAATCCAAACAACCAGGGGTGCTGACAGCATCACTGTTGGCTGACTCCCATATGATTGAAATGTCAAACATTATCATATATGTTATTGATATGTAGGCTATAGTGGGTTAGCCTTTAGGGGGTACACAACTCTAGGGTTTCATACTTGTACTCTCATCTTTCATAGTTCAATCACTTCTTCATTCTGACATGGTATTACGAGCTTAGGTCCTAGTCCTAGGACCACTTACCTAAGGGCCCACCACACGAAGCGCCCTCGAGCGCCCTTCTCCTAGAGCGCCCTCGAGCGCCCGTCTCCTAGAGCGCCCTCGTGCGCCCCTCTCTTCCTCCTGCTGCCCGTGCGCAGCTCGCTAGTGCCGCGCGCGGCCCTTTTTTTTTTTAGCGCGCGACTCACTAGCCGCCCGTGCGCCGACCCCTAGCCGCCCACGCGACCTGCGCCGCCCGTGAGCAGCCCCCCTAGCCGCCCGTCGACCCCTGCCCAGGACGACGCAGCCGCCCATAGGCTGCCGCGACGCCCCGGCCCGTTTTAGGTCGTCACCCGCGCTAGACAGGCCCACGCACGAAAACGCCCCCCCCCCCCCCCCCCCCCCCCCCCCCCCACCACTGCTGCCCACGCGCGCGCCCCCCCCCGCTGCGCACAGTCGCGTAGCCCAGCCCGAGCCGAGCCGCGCCGCCCGAACCGAGCCGCGCCGCCCGAACCGAGCCGCGCCGCCCAAACCGAGCCGCGCCGCCCGAGCCGAGCCGCGCCGCCCGGACCGAACCGCGCCGCCCTGACCGAGCCGCGCCACCCTACTGTGCCCCACGGCAGTTCCTCCTGTTCCTGTTCCTACTGTACTACTGCTACTGTTCCTGCTGCTACTGCTGCCATTATGGCCACTCCCTCTGTTCTCACCTTTGACGCTGAGGGCCGCCCGATTAAGTTTGAGGTCTGGCTAGATGACCTCCACCTGTTCCTTCAGATCACTGCCAAGGATGATGTGTCCCTCTATGATCACACATCCGGCGCTGCTCCTGCACCTCCTGCTACTGCTGACAGCACTGCCCGCTCCCAGTGGCAGACCCGTGATGCTCACGCTCGCCTAGCTGTTCGCAGCCACCTACCGCTAGATGAGCGCGAGCACTTCGGCCAGCATAAGACAGCTAAGGAGCTGTACGACGCAGTAGTCGCACGCTACTCCTCTCCTGCCACTGCTGCTATAGGCCGTCTCTCACTGCCCTATCTCTTCCCCGACCTGTCCGCGTTTGCCACTGTAGCTGACCTCATCACTCACCTCCGTACCAGTGACCTCCGCTACCGTGCCGCTCTCCCCCCCGATTTCCTCGCCAAGAACCCCCCCCCGATGTACCTCACACTGTACCACCTTGTCACCCGCCTCCCTGACTCCCTTCGCTCTGTCAGGGACCAGTTCCTTGCCCTCTCCCCCACTGACCTCACTGTCGACCTCCTCGAGAAGGAACTCCTAGCAGCTGAGAAGAGCATTGTAGCTGTAGGTGCCTCTTGTGGCGACCCCCGCACCCCCTTCTTTGAGGGGTGCTCCCCCTCCCCCCTCCTCCCCTCCATTGCATCTGCTGCTGCTGTCGGCTACCTCGGAGCTGAGGGAGTCGGGGCCGCGTCTGCTCCCAGTGGGAGACGCAAGGGCGACAGGGGCAAGGGGGGCAGGGGTGGTGGAGGTGGACGAGGGGGCGGCGGCAGTGGAGGGGGTGGGGTGGGCCGGGGTGGTGGCGGGGGTGGGAGTGGCGCGGGTGGTGGGGGGGGCAGTGGCGGCACAGGGGGTGGTGGCGGTGGCGGTGGTGGGGGTGGTGGGGGCGGTGGGGACGGTGGAGGCAGTGGTGGCGGTCGTGGAGCGGTGCAGCGTGGGGGGTTCGGCGGCGGCCAGAGGCAGCAGCAGCAGACTCCCTCGCCCCAGCAACTCCGTGAGTGGTACTCTCAGCGTGGGGGGTCTGGGGGGGGAGGTACCTGCCCGTACGTCATCCGCACAGGTGACCGCACTGGCCAGACCTGTGGGAGGTTCCACACGGAGCAGCGCTGCTTCTTTCGTCTTGACGACGCCTGGCGTGAGCAGTTTCCTGACGCCACTGAGCTGCCCCGCTGGGCTGACCTGCTTAGGAAGAACATTGATATCTTTGCTCTTGACTTTGATGCTATCCTTGGTGCCATGTATGCATTGACTATTAGTGTTGAGGGTGACTGTTACCTGAGTGTACCGCCAGACCCTGGCATTGGGACCAGTGAGACAGCTCCTCCAGGTGCTAGTGCGTCTGCTCCCCTAGGTCCTGGTGAGGCTGCTGCTCTTGGTGCCAGTGCGTCTGCTGCCCTAGGTCCTGGTGAGGCTGCTGCTCTTGGTGCTAGTGCGTCTGCTCCCCCAGGTGCTAGTACGTCTGCGCTTGCTGGTACTGCGTCCACTGAGGCACTGCACACCTTCACACTCGACTCGGGTGCTTCCCGCTGCTTCTTCCGTGACCGCACTGCCCTTGAGCAGCTAGCTCGGCCGGTTGCTGTCTCTCTCGCTGACCCCTCTGGGGTCCGGTCATTGCGACCTCCTCCACTGTCCTCCCTTGTCCTGCGGTCCCGTCCGGCACCCTGTCGGGCCTTTACCTCCCCTCGTTCTCTACGAACTTGGTGGCGGGCTCTGCTCTTCAGGATGGGGGTGTTCACCAGTTCACCCCTGCCTATGAGCGTGTGACCCACTGTACGTGTGCTAGGACAGGTCGCCACCTAGCTACCTTCACTCGGCAGCCGGGGTCGGACCTGTACACACTGACCACTGAGTCCCCTCAGGTAGCAGCGTCTGCGTCTGCGTCAGGTCAGCTGTCGGCCCCCTGCTCGTGTCTCTCCCTGTCACACCAGACCGTTCTCTGGCACCACCGTCTTGGTCACCCGTCAGTGCAGCGCCTTCGTGGCATGCACTCCCGGTACCTTGTCTCTGGTCTTCCCAGGGTTCTCCCTCCCCTCCCACCCTCGCCTGCTCCTCCCTGTCTTCCCTGCGTCGAGGGGCGGCAGCGCGCCGCTCCTCACTCCTCCTCGTTCCCTCCCACAGAGGCTCCTCTGCAGACTCTCCACCTGGACGTGTGGGGCCCAGCCCGCGTCCGTGGACAGGGCCACGAGCGGTACTTCCTGCTGGTTGTCGACGACTACACGCGCTACACCACGGTCTTCCCCTTGCGCACCAAGGGTGAGGTCCCTGATGTTTTGATCCCCTGGATCCGCGCTGCTCGTCTCCAGCTCCGCGACCGGTTCCAGTCGGACTTTCCCGTCCTGCGTCTGCACTCTGACCGAGGTGGTGAGTTCTCCTCTGACCTCCTGGCAGCCTACTGTGCGGAGCACGGCATTCGCCAGACTTTCACGCTTCCGGCCTCTCCTCAGCAGAATGGGGTTGCTGAGCGCCGCATTGGCTTGGTCATGGAGATCGCTCGTACCTCCTTGATCCATGCGGCTGCCCCCCATTTTCTGTGGCCGTTTGCGGTCCAGTACGCTGCGCATCAGCTCAACCTCTGGCCCCGTGTCTCCACTCCGGAGACCTCGCCCACACTGCTGTGGACGGGGCAGGTTGGCGATGCGTCGCGTTTCCGTGTCTGGGGTGCTCGTTCCTTTGTCCGTGATACCACTGCGGACAAGCTCTCCGCCCGCGCTGTGCTTTGTTTCTTCCTTGGCTTTGTCCCCGACGCACCTGGTTGGCGGTTTTACCACCCCACCTCGCGCCGTGTCTTTGCGTCTCAGGACGTCACCTTTGACGAGTCGGTACCCTTCTACCGTCTGTTCCCCTACCGCACTGCTCCTCTCCCCCCCCCGCCTCTCTTCCTCACCCCAGGTGCCCCTCCGGTAGACCCCCTCCCTCCCCAGGGTCCTGCTCCCTCAGGTGTTTCCCAGGTAGACGCAGTCGAGCCTGTCGAGGTAGCTGTTGACTCTGGTCCTGAGCGGGATACTGAGCCTGGGGGCACTGAGACTGGGGGTGCTGCGCCTGGGGGTGCTGCGACTGGGGGTGCTGAGCCTGGGGGTGCTGCGACTGGGGGTGCTGAGCCTGGGGGTGCTGTGACTGGGGGTGCTGCGCCTTGGGGTGCTGCGACTGGGGGTGCTGAGCCTCGGGGTGCTGAGCCTGGGGGTGGTGACCCTGCTGGTGCTCCCTCTCCACAGCGACTACGTGAGTGGTACGCTCGGCGCTGCGGCCTCCGGAGTGGAGCCCCTCGTTTTGAGTTACCCCCTGCTGGAGGTACTGGAGCTACTGGAGGTGCTACCGGTGCTGCCGGTGCTGCTGGAGGTACTGGGGCTGCTGGAGGTGCTGCTGGTGCTGCTGGAGGTACTGGTGCTGCTGGCGGTGCTGCTGGTGCTGGTGGAGGTACTGGAGCTGCTGGAGGTGCTGCTGGGGGTACTGGAGCTGCTGTAGCTCCTAGTGGTGCCCCTA